GGGCGGAGATCGGAATATTCAGAACCGGGAGCAGGTGGTGATCATGGAGACCGACTTGGCCGACATGCCCGAGAAGAGAGGTAAGAGTTGCTCAAGTGTTGTTGAAGTTGTGTTGTGGAAGGGCGAAATTCTTAGTTGCCTCACAGGAGGTGGCTCTTGGCGGAGAGGGCCGTCCGTCTCCTTTGTCTGGGGGAGCGATGGGCTCTTGGAGGGAGCACGAAGGGCTTGGTGTGGCATCCACCCCCCTCTCCTCTCCAGCTGGGCGTACAATGGACCCTTCAAAGCCACCCCCGGAATCCGAGCGGAAGGTTAGCTTGTAAGGCGTGAGCATGGCCTCGATTACTTTTTCTCACGCCTTCTTCCTCCCAGATGATTATGCCAACCAAGCCTCAGTCATGGGTCTGAGAATTTAGCTTTTTGGTTGGCAAAAATATTTTCCACACCTTTTTTGCCACTTTGCACGATTACCATGTGATTTCAATAAGCAAATCATTTTTTGTGTTTTATAGGAGAAAACGGGCCTAGAAGTCAGTGGCTGGCTTCCAGTTTACTAGAGCAGTCTTTGTTGAAGTTTGGTCTGTAGCCTACATCAGGATTACCTTTCTGAACGCCTGTTAGATTTCTAGATTGCCGCAGACTCAACTAATGATAATTATTTGGAGGTGGGATACAGCAGTCTTCATTTTAAATAAGCCTGCAGGGTGATTTTTGTAAACTCTTGAGCCTGTTTTTCTGATATGAACATTAAGCTCAGGGAGAAAACTGACTTAGTTTTATTTCTAGAACAGAGAGTGCCATCTTTCCAGAATGTGTTAGAATTATAGCAACTGAGTGAATTTAAGTCCTGAGTAGCAACACTTCTGGACATTTCTCCATGACCTGGGATCCTGGGTTGTTTGGGGCTCCCTTCCCTTACAGTGTTTGTAGGGAGCAGCATGAGTATGGTGGAGGGAATTTTAGACTTGTAAATCTGAGTCACAAGATGGATCTAGGCCCCATCATTACTGCTTTCTTGCCCTTAGCTCGGTCTTCCCAGGATTCTCCCTTTTCCCAAGAGCGGAGCACAGAAGAGGGAGAAGTGCCAGCTCTGCACCTCACAGCCAGATCCCAGGTGAGTGTGAGTCTCTACTGATTATTAAAAATACCCCCTTATTTCTGGGAGTACAGATGCACTCCCTTGTTTCTGAGGTGGAGTTTCTTTGTCCACTAGAGCCCATATAATGGAGAGCTCGGTTCCAGTTCTAAGGGACTACTTGGGTATCTAATGGACTCAATAGAAAATGTCTTCTACGTACCCACAGTACCTTCTCCGCCTAGTATTTATCGTCATTCAATAGGCATGTAGAAAGCATTGCCCTTCTTTGAACTTTTATGCTTATTTCTGTGCTTGGATAACATAGGAAACTATTTTAAAAGTAAATTTGGGGGGCGCCTGGGTGGCTCAGTCGTTAAACGTTTGCTTCGGCTCAGGTCATGATCCCGGGGTCCTGGGATCGAGCCCCCCCATCGGGCTCCCTGCTTGGCGGGAAGCCTGCTTCTCCCTCTCCATCTCCCCGTGCTTGTGTTCCCTGTCTTGCTGTGTCTCTGTCAAATAAATAAATAAAATCTTTAAAAAATAAATAAAAAATAAAAGTAACTGTGGCACGTACCTATTAAAATACGTTTGTCTAGGGGAAACAACATACATATGATTGTTAAATAGAAATTTAAGAAAGCATCTTAAATGCTGTAGTGAATTATGAAGACAGGTATTCAAATAGTTCAAGGAAGTGCTAGAAAGGGAAAGCCTGTGGAAGGTTTAATTTAAAGAGTTAGAATCCAGGCCTCCAAGATGATGAACGCTAAAGTATTTTAGAGGTGAAGTGTTATGTCTGCAGCTTACTTTCGGATCCTCCCCTCCCCAAGAGAATATATATCAAGAATTGGTGAATTTGAGTGGTGCTTGTACTATATGGGTGAATAGTGTGTTAGTCTCTCAATTTTTTTGTATATTTGAACATTTTTATGAAAAGAGCTCTCCATGATGTGTGTGGCATACCTCTGCTAGCCTTTCTTTTTGCTGCTATAATCCAGAGTGTAAAAAGTAGACATTGCATATTTAATTTTTTTATTTATTTAAGCAGTCTCCACACCCAACATGGGGCTCGAACTCACGACCCCAAGATCAAGAGTCATATGCTCTTCCAACCAAGCCAGCCAGGAGCCCCTCCTCAGGATCCTTATATACTTGCTTATTTCCATTGGTTTCTCAACTGCCTTACATGAGTATTAAAGACTGTATCAGTCAAGAAGTTCTAAGTTGCAGCTCATGAAAATTCAAACTGGCTTAAGCATAAAGAGTTATTGAGTAACATAACTGAAAAATCCAGGTATGGCTGGAAATAGAACCCAAACGGTAATATGAGCACATACTCTCTCCATTTCATTGAGCTTTTTTTTTTCCCCCCTCTCATTGGATTTTGCTCTCAAGCAGGCTTTTTTTCCCTGGTGCCTGTTCCTAACAAATTTAGGCTTACATCTTCACATGTTGAAGACCAGAGAAAAAAAGCATCTTCTATCCTAGTCATTGCAGCTCAAGTCCTGGAATTAGCTTTTGAATGGGTATTAGGTACATTCTGGCACCACTATGGGCCACATATAATTGTAATTCTCTAATTAATTGATGAGACCTAGGGAATATACCTGCACACACTCATACAAACACACATCCCACCCATGAGTCATTGTTGGAATTGGTACTACGTGAACTATACTAACAATAGCCAAGCATAGGGGCCAGAGGAGAATCAGGGTGTAGGTACCAGAGGGAGGGTGAATGCTTTATATATTTCAACACTTTGATAATGGATTCAAGACTGTTACAGCTTCAGGGTGGATTAAATCTCTTACGGAAAAAAAAAAACAACGCTCTTTCACATTGCATTAGATTTTGTTTGATACTAACAACTGCCTTCTTACTAGAATTTGCCTGGGCTATTTTTTTTTAATCTTTAACTTACTAGGGTGCCTGGGTGGCTCAGTTGGTTAAGCGACTGCCTTCGGCTCAGGTCATGATCCTGGAGTCCCGGGATCGAGTCCCGCATTGGGCTCCCCGCTCAGCAGGGAGTCTGCTTCTCCCTCTGACCGTCTTCCCTCTTGTGCTTTCTATCTCTCATTCTCTCTCTCAAATAAATAAATAAAATCTTAAAAAAAAAAAAATCTTTAACTTACTAGATTTTTTTTTTAAAGATTTTATTTATTTATTTGACACAGAGAGAGACAGCGAGAGAGGGAACACAAGCAGGGGGAGTGGGAGAGGGAGAAGCAGGCTTCCCGCCGAGCAGGGAGCCCGATGCGGGGCTCGATCCCAGGACCCTGGGATCATGACCTGAGCCGAAAGCAGTCGCTCAACCAACTGAGCCACCCAGGCGCCCTAACTTACTAGATTTTTAAAAATATTAAAGTTTTAATTCTTGCTCACTGTAACCAGGTGAACAGCACAGACATATATAAATTTAAAGGTAAAGATAGTATGACCTCCCCAAATTCAGCCCTCCCCCTCTCCCTACTGAGGATAACAGTTTGGTGTATATCTCTTTCCACTTTCTTCTTATCCCCAGCTTTGGGATTTTTGTTTGAGTGTCCTTTCTGTAAACAGGATGTAGTTTTTTTTAAAAACCCATTCTATAAGGTAAATGAACTAATTCATATTAATTACTTTTTTTTTTAAGATTTTATTTGACAGAGAGAGAGTACAAACAGGGGGAGCGGCAGAGGGAGGGAAAGAAGCAGGCTCCCCACTGAGTAAGGAGCCCGACGCAGGGGCTCAATCCCAGGACCCTGAGATCATGACCTGAGCCAAAGGCAGACGCTTAAGTGACTGAGTCACCCAGGCGCCCCCATATTAACTACTTTTATGTTTCAAATTTTTCTTGCCATGTGATTTTTATAATTGTTTATTATGCTTTCTTTATTCTTTTGTATTTCCTGCCTTTTGTGCAATAGTTTGCATTTTTGTTCTGTTTTTTTTTCTTTTAATGGTTTGGAAATTAATTTCTATCGAGTGTCATTTTGGGTATAGATATGCAGATGATAGGATCAGGGTCATTTTTCCTCATAATATCTACTCAGTGGCTACTTAATGATTTTTGTATTTTATTTTCCAGGGATGATTCTTGGTTTTGTTTTGTCTTGTTTTTATTCTTGTTACTTAAATCTCAGATTATTTCTACTTTGGGAACTTTATTTTGAAATAATTTTAGACTTAAATAAATGATGTAAATAGTAAAAAGACTTTTTATATACTCTCCACTCAGATTCTCCAAAAGTTAACATTTACCTCACTTACTTAAATTTGTAAATTTTGTGTTATATAAACTTGATCCTATGAAATTTACACAGGAACATTTATATCTTGTACCTTCAATTAATTTGTTCCTGTTAGTTTCCAGTTTAATGCTTTTTGCCTTGAATTCCGTGCTTGACTGGATTTGGTGCTCACTGCCATTCTTTTCATTGCATGACTTCTTCACATTTGTAAGTTCTGTATTTCAGTTCATCTTCTGATTGGCTAGATTGATTCTTTACGTTTTTATTGAGGACTCACAAGGAGAATGACTCAGATATGCCTTTTTCCTCTGCCTGAATTCTGTTTACTTTGCCAGACTGCATTGTTGGTCCGTTGGTTCATGTTTTAACTCTTTATTCCCCAGAAAAATGATAGTCTCAACGGAGAAACCATAGTCTTCTTTGGGTTCTCATACTGAATCCAGCACAGTGTGCCTGGCACTTGATTGATACCCAGTGACTTTATACATAGAGTATTCCAAATCTGAATACATTAGAATGCTTGTCATTTATCACAGTCATTTCCCGTCCTGTGTATAGCTTATGCATCTATCTAGGGCCAGCAGAAACTGGGGGGTGAAATTGAGTCTGTCAAGTGAGAGATGGTGAACAAAAGTATGTTTATGTCTTAGGCATCAGTGACATTCAAGGACGTGGCCATGGATTTTACCCCAGAGGAGTGGGGGAAGTTGGATCCTGCACAAAGGGAGGTGATGCTGGAGAACTATAGGAACCTGGTCTCGCTTTGTAAGGATGGGTTCTCATTGTGACTCTGGAATCTGCATATGGGGACATCATTACATTATTGAAAGTGAAATAGCTTAACAAAACCTTCACTTTTGCATTCAGAAATCATAAAGTATTGATCCCTTTGGGCCCAGAGAAAATCTGTTTCTGCCCTAGGTTCTTGGTGAAATGTCTATGCTGGTTTTGTTTGAAAAGTCTTTGGATTCGAATGATAGAAACCTAATTCACACTGGCTTAAAGGGGATAACAAATCTTGATTCAGGGAATCATATGTATTGACAAATTTTCTTAATTTTTTTAAACACGTGGCTTGGCTTTGCCCCATAATAGCTTTATTCTTAGGATCTCCGCATATGGTAAAGATGGACTTTGGCAGCCCTAAGATTACATGATTCTTCCAGTTAGAGAGAGTACTCTCTGGCCAGTGTGGATCTTGTGCTCACCTCTTTGGGGGGGTGTGCACGTGTGCACATATATGTGTTCATATGGGGGTAGAAGAAACTGTGTTAACTCTTCCCAGTGATATTTATACATGAACATGTATAAATTATATCTGAACCCTTAATTTGTTGCCATTATTTTCCAGTTGAATGCTTTTTGCCTTGAATTAATTTTGTGCTTATGTAATAACTTCCCTGAGAAAGTGGGTTCTGGTTACTGAAGAAGGAAGAAAGGGAAAAACCATTAGAAAGAAGACAAAAACTCTAGTCACCACGGTCACAACTTTTGGGTGCTGCCGCGGAGATCCCACTTTCTCCATTTCCTCCTGAAGCTAAGGACTCACCTGCAGTGTCTCCCTGGAACTTACACAATAGAGAAAGAGAAATTCTCTCTCTCTCTCTTTTTTTTAAGCTCTATGCCCAATGTGAGGCTTGAACTCACGACCCCGAGATCAGGGGTCACGTGCTCTATGGACTGAACCAGCCAGGCGCCCTGAGAAGTTCTCTTCTTTTTGACAGGCAAAAACATTTGCCTTTTCCAATGCATATAAGCTCCTTACCAGACCCAGACTTGCTGCAAATATTTTAAGCTTCATTCAGAGGCCCATGCTCCCTCATTCCTGACCTGTCTTTGTAGATCAGAGAGTTGGGTCTATGCTATAAAATAGATCTTTGTGCCCATCACAAATAGTTAAGTCCTGTTATTAAGTCCTCTTTCTTTTTGTTCTTTCTTTTTTTAAATGAGCAGGGCTTCCAGTTTCCAGACCTGAGAACTACAATTTGGAGAATGGAAAAGAACCATTGATGCTTGAGAGAAAAGCCCCCAAAAGCAGCTATTCGGGTGAGTCAGACACATGGGAGTCTTCAGAAATAATAGCCCTACGGGACAGTGTAAAGGGGGCGCTTTTCAGTGCTTAGGAAAGAATATTAGAAATGCCTATGTGCATTTATTTTTTTAATTGTCTTATTTTAAGTGATAGAGCATTTTAAATAATATAAAAGTTGGGGGGAAAAAAGTAACAGGTATTCACTGTCAAAATCAAACATACGCTAATATTTTGCTTCTTTTGCCTTTGTTTCTTTCCTCTGTTTTGCAATATAAAATAAAAATATCATAACTGTACAGTTCTGTGAATTTTCACAAACGGATACATTCATGTAACTAGTGCCCAGATCAAGAAGCAACCTTACCAGCCTGGAAGTACTCTTCTCACTTCATTCCTTCCAAGGGTAACCTTATCCTAACTTCTAACGCCATAGATTAGTTTTGGCTGTTCTTGAACTATGTTCCAGCATCTGGCTTTCTTCACTGAACATTACTGTGAGATAACAGCCATGTCATTGCATGTAGTTTTAGTTCATTCTCTTTGTTGTGCAGACTTTTATTATGTCACTATACCAGTTTATCCATTCTCTTGAGATGGGCATTGGGGAGGTTTCCAGTTTGGGGCTATATGAATAGTGCTGCAGTGTATATTCTTTAATATGTCTTCTGGCGAACACAAACAGGCATACCTTGGAGATAGTGTGGGTTTGGTTCCAGACCACCAGAGTAAAAAGCAAGTATTGCAATAAAGGAATTCAAATTAATTTTTTAAATTTCCCATTGCCTGTGAAAATTAGGTTTATATGATGCTATAGCCTATTAAGTGTATAATACCATTAAATTTTTAAAAAAATGTACATACCTTGGGACGCCTGGGTGGCTCAGTCGGTTAAGCGTCTGCCTTCGGCTCAGGTCATGATCCCAGAGTCCTGGGATCAAGTCCCGCATCGGGCTCCCTGCTCGGCGGGAAGCCTGCTTCTCCCTCTGCCTCTGCCTCTCTCTCTCTGTCTCTCATGAATAAATAAACAAAATCTTTAAAATAATAAAAATAAAAATGTACATACCTTAATTAAAATATTGTTAAAAACCTCTAACTGTCGGGGTGCCTGGGTGGCATAGTCAGTTAAGCATCAGACTCTTGATTTCAGTTGAGGTCATGATCTCAGGGTCATGAGATCGAGCCCCACGTCGGGCTCTGCACTCAATGCAGAGTCTGCTTGAGATTCTCTCCTTCTCCCTGTGCCCCTCCCCTAACTTGTGTTTGTGTCCTCTAAAATAAATAAATAAATAAAATCTTTAAAAAAAACAAAGTTTCTTAAAAAGAAAAAAGAAAGAAAAAAATTTACAGATTTAGTTAAAGTTCTTTTATTTGCTTTCTCCCTAGAAATAACTAGTTAGGGCACATCATTCTAATGTGGGGACATATACGTATACACATGTCAAAAAACAATTACATATATATAGTATTATGTTATACTTTTTATTTTGTGATCCAGTTTTTTTTTTAAACTTCACCTTGTGTTTTGATAGTAATCCATGTTAAAACAGATGAATTGCATTTGTTTTGACTCCTGTGGAATAAGTCCATCGTGTGACTAAATTAAATGGTTTGTTTTACCTTTGCCGTTAAAAAGAGTCGCAATGATCATCGTTTTGTTGGCTCTTTGTATTCATCTTGAGAGATGGTTTAGGTGCGTAATCAGAATAACTACTGGATCTTAAAGTATCATCTCATGTTTAGCTTTATTAGGACCTGCCAAGCTCCTTCCACCATCCTGGTAAGCAGTTGATGCTATCAGATTTAGTAATTTGCTGCAGTCTGTTGGGTATGAAATGAAATTTCATGATTTTTAATTTACATTTCTCTGGTTATGAATGAGTTTGAGTACTTCATATGCCTATTAGTTATTCAGGCTTCCTCTTTTGTAAATTACCTGTTCGTAGCCTTTGTCTTGTTTTTTGAAACTGGGCCATTCACATATTTCTCTTGATTTGTTGGATTTCTTTATACATTTTAAATAGTACTGTATGACAGAGGTACCATTACAAATTGGTGAGAAAAAAAATGGTTGTTTTTATCTGTGGCTCATTCTATTTTAAGGTGTCTTATACATACAGAATTTAAAAATTTTAGGGGCGCCTGGGTGGCTCAGTCGGTTAAGCGGCTGCCTTCGGCTCAGGTCATAATCCCAGGGTCCTGGGATTGAGCCCCGCATCAGGCTCCCTGCTCGTCGGGAAGCTTGCTTCTCCCTCTCCCTCTGCCTGCTACTTCCCCTGCTTGTGCTTTCTCTCTCAAATAAATAAATAAAATCTTTAAAAAAAAATGATTTAAAATTTTTAATGTTATCAGATTTCTTTTTTTTTAATGCTTTACCTTTTTTTCTGAATTGTCTTCTTTATTCCAATGTCAGGAAAACAATCTGTACTTTATTCCAAAATGTTCAAGTTTGGGGGTGCCTGGGTGGCTCAGATGGTTGGGCATCTGCCTTCAGCTCAGGTTGTGATCTCCAGGTCCTAGGATCAAGCCCCAGGTTGGGCTCCCGGCTCAGCGGGGAGCCTGCTTCTCCCCCTCTCTCTGCCTCTCCCCTTGCTTGTACTCTCTCTGTCTCTCTCTCAAATGAATAAATAAAATCTTTAAAAAAATAAAATGTTCAAGTTTTGTCTTACAGGTAGGTCCTGTTGGGGCTTTTTTGCATATTGTGTGAATAAGGAACTACTGTTATCTTTTTTCCATGCTTAAAGCTGATAGTCCGGCATCGTTTATTGAAAAATCTGCATTTTGTCACAGATTTGTAACACCAACTCTGGTAAACTCTTGTCCTGTTTACACTTCGGTCTGTTTCTAGACTCTCTGGTTTACTTGTCTATCTGTGCTGCACTAACAGTTGTTTGAATTATTATACTTTGTAGTATGTATATCTCTAAAAGGAAATCTTGCTTTAATATTCTGCTTTTTAAAATCTTGTTCTTTGGAATACTGAGTTTTAAAATCTTCCCCTGTGATTATCGATTATGTCTGTTTCCCCTTGTAGGTCTGTCAGTTTTTGTGACTTGCCTATTCACCACCCTTCTCCCTTTTTATATGGGAGATATTGCCATTTTCCGAATGATCTAGAAGAATCTTCATACATGAGGCATATATTCCTTGTCAGACATTTTTGCTAGTTTTTACTCTTCAGTTTTGCTGTGCTTTTTAGTGTACAAATTTAATGCATTACAATCTTCTAAGTTTTCTGATTTTTGATGACTACTTCAAAAGTTCTCCCTCTAAGATCAAAGAAATACTTGCTTCTGTTCTCTTATATTTGTCCTTTAATTTTTCTTTTAAATCCTTAATCCATTTGGAATCTCTTCTTCTCTGGTCGTATCTTCTAACTTTCTGAACAATTGAATGTTTGAATTGCTCAAGGCTTGGTTTTAATCTCTCATCCCCCTATATACTTGGAATCATAAACTTAAGTGTCTACATGGGACAGCAGGTAACCTATCGGAGTGAAGCAAGCAAGGTAAGTAGGGTGGGACTGATAAACTGGAAGAACACACACCTCAACCAAAAGGAGTGGCCATTCTTCCATTAGCTCTAACTCAAAAGCTGGCAAATTTTTTTATGCAAAGGGCTAGATAGTGAATAATTTATCTTGTAAGACATATGGCCTCTGTTGCAACTCCTCAGTCTGCCATGGTAGTATGGAAAGCAGTCTTAGTTCATAAATGAATGGGTATGGTTGTGTTCCAATAAAACTTTATCTAGAAAAATAGCAGCAAGCTATAATTGCCAGTCTTTGCTCCAGTTGGTTATTGTCATGCAGTATGCTTCTAGTTTTTTCCAAGAGAAACCCAAAATTTGAATTTCTATGTGAAATCTCTCCATTATTAAATGTTGTCACCAATCTCAAAAATTTCTATAAATAGTGTGGGCCAAACAAAACATGTCTGAGTGTCAGATTTGTCCCACTGGTCACCTGTTTGCAGCCTCTGTTTTCTCCCACAACCAAATTATCAGCTCTATCTAGATGAATCCCAAATTTGTATTTCCAGCCTAGATATCTCCTCTGGCCCCCTGTTCTAAACATTTGTGTAACTATTTGATGTCTCCATGGCTTATGTTAAAGATGCCTCAATAGAGCATGTTTAAAACATTGTTTGGGGGCATCTGGGTGGCTCTTGGTTAAGTCTGTGACTCTTGATTTCTGCATAGGTCATGATCTCACAGTTGTGTAATCCAGCCCAGCGTGGATTCTTCATCTCTCTGCCTCCTGCCACTCATGTGTGCTCTCTTTTAAATAAATACATAAATAAATAAAAATTAACTAACTAAATAAATAAATGAGGGCCTGATATAGGCCCAAATTCTCCATCCTCCCAGTAGGATCCTTTTCCAGTTATTGTCTTAATGACACTCTGTCTTACCAAATTGCAGAAGTCAGAAATCTATGAACAGTTTTTACACTTTCCTCTCTTTCTTAATCCAGTTCAGCTTTGCATTTATCCAGTCATACTGTAAATATTTTTTTTCATTGTTAGCATCCCTCCATCTCTCTCTTGTTTGCCTGGACCACTGTGATAATCTTGATTCTACCTTTGTCCCCATAGATTTACACCAGTCTTTTATATCACAGTGAGAGTGATGGTTTCAAAATACAAATCTGATGGTGTCATCCTTTTGCTTAAAACATTCCAGTGTCTTCCCATTGCTCTTAGGATAACAACCAAAACCCTTGAGGCCTACACAGTCTTAAAAAATCTGGCTTTTACTCATTATTCCAACCTAATCTCACACCTCCTCTCCCTGTTTTTGTACTCTAGCATAGCGGTTCTTAAGTACTTTGGCATCACACGTTTAAAATTACTGAGGACCCTAAAGAGGTTTTTTTTATATACTTATATTTTATGTTTTGGTTATATTTACCAATACTTACTGTATTAGAAATGAAAAATTTTAAAAAGTTTAAACTGTGAAATCATTTAAAATAATAAAACCCATTTCATGTTAACACAAATAATACAATTTTTATAAAAACACCTATATGCTGCAAAAAAAATTCATTGGCAAGAATGCATTGTTATACATTTCTGCAAATCTATATTCTCACTCCTGCTTCTGAATGCAGTTTGCTGTGACATGTTTTGGTTGACTTGTATGAAGGAAATCCAGCCTCACACCAATATATAGTTGGAAAAGGGAGAAATATTTCATAGCTTTTTCAGATAAGTGTGGCTATTGTGATATTACACCAAAACTGGGCGAGTGTTAAATTCTTTTTTTTTTTTTAATATTTATTTGAGAGAGTGTGCACTTGCATGCCTATGAGCAGGGAGAGGGGCAGAGGGAGAGAATCCTCAAGAAGACTCCCCACTGAGTGTGGAGCCCAACGCGGGGCTCGATCCCAGGACCCTGAGATCATGACCTGAGCCAGAATCAAGAGTTGGACGCTTAACTGACTGAGCCACCCAGGTGCCCTTGGGCAAGTGTTACTTTCTTAAAGATCAGCTATAATGTGGCATCTGGAACCAGATCCATGAATTTTTCATACTCTTGTTAAAATCTACTGATCTTCTGGAAAATACTGGTTCACTGAGTTATGCAGATCTCCTAAGTATTGACACATTCGATTAGATAGTGTTTTTTAAATCACAACTTTTAATATCACCACTGACCTTATCAGAAAAGTCTTTAAGGATTAAGAAGCTACCAAGCTCTCCAGAGCAGATACAAGTTTTCCAAAATTCTTCTTTCTGCCCAAAAGCTGAAATTTCATTGAATACTGTTGTTTTCCTTGAATTGACAAGCTCACTTTGTTCATTTTTGAGAAAATGTCAAATACTCAACTTGGTTAACATATTTTTTCTGTCAGTCATTCTTCCAAGTAAAAACTGTGGTCCATGAAGAAAGTGGCTAGTTGAGCTCACAGGTCAAATGATCCCACAAGTGGTTTTCTTCAAGACAACCAGCATACTTTGATATGAACAGAATTGCTTTATGAATATTTTCTATTTCATCAATTCCAAATTTTAAGAGGACATATACTCAAGGCTTGAAATTTAATAAAATCAATAATGTTTACTGTTTCCTGAGACATTTTTAAGTGAAACTGGCTCCTTTTTTTCTTAACTGAGAGTACATGGCAGGGAAGAATAACAGGTGCTGGTAAGTTTGTTGTCATTGTCCTAATTTGTGCTAAGTCATAAGTAGTTTTACCATGATTACTTTTGTAACAGTGCCAGTGACAAGACATTGAAAGAGGCAAATAACATCTAAACATCATATTGAAAATAGTTTTGAACTTCTGGCTTCCTGGGGGTTTATGGACCATACTTTTAAGATTTCTACCTACGTCCCTATACCAGCCTTATTACATCAGACTATTAGCACTTACGCTGTGTCAGAATTTTTAGTGGTTTACACTCCTTTAATGCTTATTAAGGTAGGTATTGTCATTATTTCTCATGAAGTAGGTACTGTTACTGCCCATCTTACACATAAAGAAACTGAAATAGATTAAATAATTTGCCCCAGGTCACACAGTTTGTAAGCAGCAGAACTGGGATTATCTTCATGCATTCGGATTCCAGAGTCCATGCTCTCAACCACTGCTTTCCTTGTATGTTCCTCTCACCTTGGCGTTTTGGTTCATATCATTCCCTCTCCCTGGAATGCTCACCTCTGTGCTTTTGTACCGATTATCTGCAACACTCACCTGAACTCCAACCCCACTTTCATTTCAGCTAAGTGATTTACTTCCTCAGAGAAGTCTTCCCTCATCTCCCTAGATTTCCCCTCTTATATTTTTCCAGAGGGTCATTTGCCTTTTATTCCTCAATACTTTGCCTTAATTATGACAGGTGCGTTTTTATATGCATTTGTGAATGTTAGACTAAATTCTCTCCCCTCGTGTGCATGTGTCTTTCCCTAGTGCCTAGCACAGAGCCTAGCGTATGGTAGATATTCAGTGGATAACTGTTGAATAAATGGATAGAAGAGTAGCTTGGTGAAGGAATAGAATTCATTTGGCTGTATAGAATGAGGGACAGATCTAACTTAATTTTCTTCTAAATGTGTAATCAGTTGTCATAGCACCATTTGTTGGAAAACAAAATCTCTTTTGTTGACTGACTGAAATATCACCTTTGTATTGTTTTTAATTGTATATGCTCGACTATTTCTGAAGTTGCTCTTCTGTTTCATTGATCTGTCTATTCCTTTGACCCACCACATTCTTTAAATTATTTTAGCTTTATAAAGGAGTTTTATATTAGATATAAAAATTCTAAGATAGTAGATATATTTAGAGAGGTCTAGCTTCCATCCCTGCTCTCTCTATTCTGATATTTTCCCTATAGGCAACCATTTTCATTACTATTTCATTTGTCTGTCCTTGGTTTTTGAAAATATAACCAAATATGGACATATATTTGTATCTCACCCCCCCATTTTTTCTACATAAAGAGTAGCAAACCATACACACTCACTTTCAGCTTGCTCATTTTTTTTAAAATTATTTTATAATGTATCCTGGCGATAACTTCATATCTATATATGGAGATCTTTCTGATGTTTTAAAAAGTTGCATTTTATGTCTGCATCATAGTGTATTTAATCAGCTCTCTAAAATCGATATTGAGATGTTACCAGTCTTTTGCTATCTCAGTGTTACAATGAGTAGCCTTGTGTCCATATAATATCATATATTTGCCATTATATCTTTGGGAGATCATAGGAGATTTTTGATCAAAGATGTATTATAAAAACATTGTTAGGGAAGATTAAACTGAAAATGGAATACATATTTGGACATGAGTAGGACTGGATGGCTGGAAACCTAGAAGTCATAATGTCCTATACACTAAAGTGATAACTATATTTATTACAGCAGTAGGTATTCAATAAGAATTTGTTTCTTCCCTCTTGTGATCTAGTGTGCTCTTTTCCTGCTCATCCAGTGATATATTGCTTCATCTGCATCTCTCCTTCTCCTGTATTTCTGGTCATCTTTTACCCCCTTTTGACTATCCTGGATAAGGTCTTCTCATTTTCTCCACATATACTGTACATTTCTTTCCTTCCATTTGCTTCTCTTCACAAGTCATCTTAAAAAGTCAGACCCACATACTCCTCGGAAGCATGTTTTTCATCTTTAATAGCTGTTACAGAACTGTCTTTTGTTGAGCAGTGAAAACAAAGGAAATTTCCATTTCCAATTTCTTTCAGACCTGGAGACTAAACCTGAGGGCAAAGATTCAACTTCAGTGCAAGATATTTCCAAAGAAGAATCATGTCAGACTGTAATAATAGACAGACTGACAAGGAATAGTGTCTATGACTCCAACTTGGAAACAACTCTTGAATGTGAAAATTGGTTAGAGAATCAGCAAGGAAATCAGGAGAGACACTTGAGAGAAATGTTCACCCACGTGAATTCACTCCCTGAAGAAAGAGCTCATGAACATGATGTATACTGGAAAAACTTGAGTCAGAAGTCTGTTCTTCTCACTCAAGACAGAGCTCCCAAAGGATCCTATGCCTTCCATACACTTGAAAAAAGGTTGAAACAGAAATCAAACTTAATGAAAAAGCAAAGAACCTGTAAAGAAAAAAAGCCTCATAAATGCAACGATTGCGGTGAACTCTTCACGTACCATTCAGTGCTTATTCGACACCAGAGGGTGCATACTGGAGAGAAGCCCTATAGCTGCAGTGAATGTGGGAAATCTTTTAGCCACAGAGCTAATTTAACTAAACATCAGAGAACTCATACTAGAATTCTCTTTGAATGCAGTGAATGCAAGAAAGCCTTCACAGAAAGCTCATCCCTTGCGATACATCAGCGAATTCACATTGGAGAGAGACCATATGAATGCAGTGAATGTGGAAAAGGTTTTAATCGAAGTACACATCTTGTGCAGCATCAGTTGATTCATACTGGAGTGAAGCCTTATGAATGTAATGAATGTGATAAAGCTTTCATTCATTCATCAGCTCTCATTAAACATCAACGAACTCATACTGGAGAGAAACCCTATAAATGTCAGGAATGCGGGAAAGCCTTCAGCCATTGCTCATCCCTTACTAAACATCAGAGAGTTCATACTGGAGAAAAACCATATGAATGTAGCGAATGTGGAAAAACCTTTAGTCAGAGCACACATCTTGTTCAGCATCAGAGAATTCATACTGGAGAGAAACCCTACGAGTGTAACGAATGTGGGAAAACCTTCAGCCGGAGCTCAAATTTTGCTAAACATCAAAGAATTCATATTGGAAAGAAACCATACAAATGTAATGAATGTGGGAAAGCCTTTATTCATTCATCAGCTCTTATTCAACACCAGAGAACTCATACTGGGGAGAAGCCCTACAGATGTGATGAATGTGGGAAAAGCTTTAAGTGCAGTTCATCCCTCATCAGACATCAAAGAATTCATACTGAAGAGCAACTCTGAAAAATTACTGAATGTGAAGAAATGTAAGTTGGCTTTATCACTGTGTTAAAATACCTGAGTGTTTAGGTGGAACACCCATAAAATGCTGCTTGAGGACCAATTCTTTATGCGTCTACTTTTACTTGCATAACACGTAGTTTTGAGCCATAGACACAATGTTCCTTATATCCATTGATTTGATCATTACGAAAGCTTCTGGCCAGGGATCTCAAATTTTGATCTCCATCCCCCACCACCACTACCAAATAACCCTTTCATGGAAATTCAAGAAATCCTTGGGAGTGGATAGCAATCTGATCCTTGTGAAGTCTGGTTCCTCCCTCTCTTTGTCACATGAAAGCCTTGTTACAGCATCTCACTCGGTAAGGAAATTCTTATTTGTAAACGTAGGTAGAGGACTCCTATCTCTATCATCAGGAAAACACAGAGTTGTTCCTCTTTGGATCCGAAGTAGAGCTCCAGATGTACAGCTACTGTCATTTCTCCAGGAAGGGTTAATTCTTTTACATTAGCTGTAAAATGTTAAGGTTAAGCATTGAAATATGCTCTGGATTCCCTCCCTCCCCCAAAGGCTACTGTCTAATTTGATGAACATAAATAGACTGTATTGCAGGTTCTAAGTTGTGTTCACTTGGATTCTGCTGGTCATAAGTTTAGATCATTGTTATCCCTCTACTGTGTAGATTTTCATTTTCTACTTCTTTGGAATTTCCCTGAAGTTAAGAATGGGTCAAAATCTTAACTGCAGTTTTCAATCAAATGCCTCTTTTCTTATCCTTGGCATTGAATGAGTCTTTGGTTTTTCTATAATCAAAGTATTAGGGATATTTCATTTCCAACTCGTTCACTTACAGTTATTCTGCTTTCTGTAAACCATGCTTTGTCACTTTGAGAAAAAGCCCCTAGGATGTTGAGGGCCTGAAAAGTTTTGATGAATTCAATATGTTATTATATTTAGGGTCCTAGTCAAGAAGGAGAACTGAAGCAACTCTGGGACACGAGAACACACCTTCCTGTCAAATATGGAAAATAGTTCACAGGACAGTAACTCACTGGAGGATAACCGCTTCCCTCTATGAAGAAGAGGTTGCCGTTTCTCTGGCTTTCATGTCTACCCACATTTTTTGTTGTTATTGTTCTCCCTATATGTTTATTGGGCTATATCCCAGAGCCCTAAAAAAGGTAGAAAAGGCATGAAACCACATGGTAAATTACATGGGTGACCAAAAACCAGGGGTGAGATTGGAAACACAGGAAGCAAAAGTTCAAATAAATATTTAGCAAAACAGTATACGAATGTCAGTTTTTATTGTTACTTTATGAAAAGAAGAGTATTGAAAAGATAGAAGGGAAATAGTTACAGGTTTCTTCTTTCTCTTCTCCTAAATTCTATCCTTTATGAACATTCAACAACCAGTCCATGCTCTTGCCTTCTCCACATTATCTCTGTTATTTCTTAAAATTCCTTCTCCGTAAACCTTAGTTGTATTATTGAGGAGAAGTAGAGGAAGAGAGTTTAGAGCAAGATCATTAAGGATGAATGGGTTAAATCCAGCCGTGATGGAAATTAAAACAATAGGAAATGGGGCTGAAAGGACTGGGGAGAGGTTTTGGAAAGAACAAAAAACATGTCGGGGGGGTGGAGGTGGGTGGGAAGGCTCAGGGACTGAGGTCAGGGTAGGACGCTGACACAGGAACAAGGTAAAAGGAAAGGTGCTCGCTCAGCTCTCTTCACCTTAATACTCAGTATTCATGTTCAAAAGTAGGAACTGACAGACTATGACCTGGACCCACGACCAAGTCCGGCCTTCTGCCTTTATCTCTAAATGACGTTTAGTTGGATCTTGACCACACTCGTCCATTTACGTTTATTTGTGCTACAACGTCAGAGTCGAGTAGTTGCAGCAGACATTATGTCCCCCAAAGCCTAAAATACTTGATATTTCTCTATGTGCCAAATGCTTTTGAGTGAAGAAAAATTCATCATTTGGGGGCCAAAATTTGACTCACAAAATAAGATCACTTGGACTTAGCTGAGTTTGAATTCTACCACCTCCAATTAGCATTTATTTGATCTTACTACTTGCTGGCTCTAAGTGTCAGGGTCTTCATCTGTAAGATGGAAATAAATCATCCCTCTCTTGTAAGGTTGTGAGGATTAAATAAGACAAAGCATGTCAAAGACCTCACAATAAATAACAGCTAGTCTCTATATGTATATGTTTGTAAATATATACATATATATGTATTTTAATGAAACATCAGTCCATTTGGGCTGCTACAACGAAATAACTCACCACAGACTGAGTGGCTTTATAAACATTCTCACAGTTCTGGAGACTGAGGAGTCCCAAGAACAAGGCACCACCAGGTTCAGTGTGTGGTGAGGGCCTGTTTTCTGGTTCAGGAACCACCATCTTTTTGTTAGGTCTTCACATGGTAAAAGGGTAAGGGGGCTCTGGAACCTCTTTTACAAGGGAAACTAATCCTTTTCCTGAGAATTCTGCCCTCATGACCTATTCACCTTCCAAAGGCCCCACCTCCTAGTACCATCACACTGGGGATTAGGTTTCAAGATAAATTTGGGGAGGTACAAACTCAACCTGCAATAAGTGACTAAGCATCAATCAGGTAGAAATTAAGAATGAATGTGTCGGAAACCTGGGTGGCTCAGTCGTTAAGCATCTGCCTTCAGCTCAGGTCATGATCCCAGGGTCCTGGGATCGAGTCCCACATTGGGCTCCCTGCTCAGCGGGAAGCCTGCTTCTCCCTCTCCCACTCCCTCTGCTTGTGTTCCCTCTCTAGCTATCTCTCTCTCTCTCTGTGTGTCAAATGAATAAATAAAATCTTAAAAAAAGAATGTGTCTTCCGCACCTTTTGTTTACCAATTAAGAACTGTCACCATCCTACTGTCGAGCGTATCATAGAGAAGGGGCTTCTCTTTCTGCTCTTGCTTCCATCTGGTGCTGCTCCCTACACAGCTTCCTTGAGACCCTGGGAAATCAGCTTTTTTTCCCCCAAGTTCCCTTAACCAGGAACTTTCTGATAGTTTCAGAGACTCAAGTTTGTAATTTAATTGCAGTTTAAATAGCGTTAAGAGACTTGCTCTGAGTTAGTTTTACTGGGAACCCTGGCCCTTGACATTTCAATATTTGTTCTGTTTATGTTTGATGTTCAATGTGACTATTTGTACTCCGACATGAATTTTGGAAGTTTTAATGTTCTGCTTTTCAAATGTTTTTGGTTACCTATAAACTAAATTTGACTGCTCTTATTGGTCCACTGTCAATAAAGATGTTTATATTTTTGTTGTCAGAAAATTTTGTAAATCACTTCTAAAGTTTCCTAATTTAAGCATGGTTTAAGAGGCAAAGATAGAAAACCAGTAACATTTCTAATTGTCTCATCTGGGCTTCACAACTTCTGAAGACATGGGTTGGGGAATGCCCTACATAGCCCATGTCTCTGCGAGAGGTTGAAGAGTAGAGGAAGGTTGTTTCTACCAAATGGTGTTGAATCCTCAGGCCAAGTGCAGGTGCCACTCATTTAAGAGGGGGTAATGGGGAAAAAGACACCACTCATTTATCAGGGGTAACTGTAAAAAGTACCGTTAAAACTAAACAAGATCAGGTAGACTGATTTAGTGTAAATTTTAAATTACATCTGGCTTTTGGGAGGACAGTGTTACATAACCCAAAGTATTAAAGCAATAGTACTGTATAAGAACACCAAACAGTATTCAAATTAGTCAGCAACTGACTAGTTCAATTGTCTATCAAAAGTTTCTAATAACTGGGCGCCTGGGTGGCTCAGTTGGTTAAGCAACTGCCTTCAACTCGGGTCATGATCCTGGAGTGCCAGGATCGAGTCCCACATCGGGCTCCCTGCTCGGCAGGGAGTCTGCTTCTCCCTCTGACCCTCTTCCCTCTCGTGCTATCTCTCATTCTCTCTCTCTCTCAAATAAATAAAATCTTTTTTAAAAAAGTTTCAAATAACTATTTTCCTAGATTAGTTTTCACTTTTTATTTTTTTTAAAGATTTTATTTATTTGACAGAGAGACAGGAGGAGGGAACACAAGCAGGGCGAGTGGGAGAGGGAGAAGCAGGCTTCCCACAGAGCAGGGAGCCCGATGTGGGGCTCGATCCCAGGACCCTGGGATCATGACCTGAGCCTAAGGCAGACGCTTAACGACTGAGCTACCCAGGTGCCTCATGAGTTTTAACTTTTTAATGTCACAACAGGACTCAAGTTGGAAGGTCTTCGTCCCTGCTTTCTCCCTTTTCCTTACCTATCTTTTTAGGTCCCAGTGGGGCAATCTTGGATCCAGAACCACATGAGCTGTCCCTCACCATAGGTTTTAGTGGCAAAAGGGAAGGGTGTGCCCCTGTAGTAATACATATAACATGACATCTACAGATTACCTTGTAGTTCCAGTTGATGCACTTAAAAAATCAGATGTTTTCATTGAATTGTTCTTTAAATTTTTTAACCCCTGTTAGTCCATAAACCAGATAATCTGCTCTTAGATTGAGTTGACTCTACATAAAATGTGCATACTTCACTCTCCTCCCCACTCCCAATTCACCCATAAACATTACTATGGTGTCAGAAAAGTTCATGTGTCTGAGGAATCGGGAGTGAAACTAGAGACTCAGGCATTCCTTGATCAAGGACTATTTACCTCCATCTCTGCTCTGTTTTTTTCTGTATGGGCTATATTCTCATCAGTCTTTTCTAGTGATGACAAATACATCTACTGGCAGTTCCAAGTTAGTATGGCTCTAAGCATTTACAATCCCAAGGAGAATACTTCTTTCTAAGTAGCTCCAGCAAAATCCCCAAGGCTATTTCTCAGCTTTGCTGGAGATCATGCTGATTTTTTTAAATAATTTTTTATTGTTATGTTAATCACCATACATTACATCATTAGTTTTTGATGAAGTGTTCCATGATTCATTGTTTGTGCATAACACCCAGTGCTCCATGCAGAATGTGCCCTCTTTAATACCCGTCACCAGGCTAACCCATCCCCCCACACCCCTCCCCTCTAGAACCCTCAGTTTGTTTTTCAGAGTCCATCGTCTCTCATGGTTCGTCTCCCCCTCCGACTTACTCCCCTTCATTCTTCCCCTCCTGCTATCTTCTTCTTTTTTTTTCTTAACATATATTGCGTTATTTGTTTCAGAAGTACAGATCCGTGATTCATCAGTCTTGTACAATTCACCGTGCTCACCATAGCACATACCCTCCCCAATGTCTATCACCCAGCCACCCCATCCCTCCCACCCCCACCACTCCAGCAACCCTCAGTTTGTTTCCTGAGATTAAGAATTCCTCATATCAGTGAGGTCATATGATACATGTCTTTCTCTGATTGACTTATTTCAGTCAGCATTAACACCCTCCAGTTCCATCCATGTCGTTGCAGATGGCAAGAGGAGATCATGCTGATTGATCACTGAACATTATTGGTTCAATTTTTCAAACTGGAATACAAGCAGTAGAGTGGATAAAAGTATTACGTCCATGTTAAATTTATTGAAGCTGAAAACTATACCATGGTTCTGTAAAATAATATCCTTATTGGGAAATGCACATTGAAGTACATAAGGGGATGAAGCATAATGCATGCACTTTACTCTCAAATGATTCAGAAAAAATATGTATATATAGAGAGAGTAAATGATAAGACAAATAGGATAAAATGTTAATAAGTGAATCTGACTAAAGGGAACATAGATATCCTTTGTACTTCTAATACAACTTCTGTAAGTTTCAGATTATTTCCAAGTAAAAACATTTTAAGTAGACAGATATATTAACAGGACCCGAAATCAGACCCATGCTAGAATATATATATAAATAAAAGGCAAAAGTATACACAATGCAATGTTAAAAGACTTTTTCCTGTCTTTTAAATGCTAGGTTAGTGGGCTTAACCATAACGGAAACGCTGGAAGTCTGGAGGGGGAGGGGGGGGGCTGATATCTCCCAAGATTAACCTTCACTTTTTAAAAAATTATTGTACATGTGATTTTTTTTTTCCTGTTCCTACATTTGTGCTGCCCGTGTACTCTTGGCACATTTCAATAAAATTGTTTGGGGGGAAAAAAAAAACCTATCCAAGTATCCAAAGATTATCCATTAATAAATTTTTGAATGGGAGAAGACACTTTCACATTTAACTGAAAAAAAAAAACATTCCATAATTTATGTTTTTAATTCTTTAAAACCATTTACAAAGATTAACAGCACAGTAGAAAAAACTGTGCAGAAAATTTGCACAGACCCTTAAAAACAGTATATATAAATTTTTAAGACACAAAAAACATGCTCTGGTCTTTTAATAATTAAATGATCAAAATAAATAAAGATGAAATACCACCACTTACTAACCAGAATAGCTAAAATGAGAAAGACCGACACAAGTAATTTCCAATATTGTGTAGAAGGAATAGTTATGCCTATCATGATTTCTACTGTGGCCATCAAAACAAGAAGATATGTAATAATTAGAACTCGCTTAGAAACTAGTCACTGAGTTGCATATCGGTCAAACACCTTTGGAAAACTGTTTAGAGACATATAATTTGAATATATGCAGTGACTCAGACTAAGCAATTTCATAT